GTTGAAGCGAATAATCTCAATATACAGTCAGTCGCTTATTTCTCATCTTCAGGTATCGCCTGAGGATCTGCATGGTATCAGTATAAAGAGTAACTGAGCCTAAATTCACTATCTTATCCCCATCGTCATTTGTGGCAGTGGGTGCCTTTACTATAGGAACCGCATACATGGGAGGGTTGGCTATAACTTGTACTGTCTTATAATCCAAAATCTAAACAGTTTTTTGCCATATAATTATCGAATCTGTATTCCTTTCCTTTATTCAGTCACACTCGAGCTTTTGATAATCTATTGGAGTTAGAATCCTGCCTTGATTCCTCCTGAGTTTAGACTTAATATCAATAAACTTAACCGACTCACCTTTCTCAGTGGCATAGGCTTACACTAATTTCAGGATGAAGGCATGGCAAAAGACTTTAGTAACGGTGTCTGAACAACACGTCCTCTAAATTTGCGTAAATCAGGAGCAATATCATGACTTTTGCAATGGTTCAAAAAGGTCAAATGACGTAATTTATCTATATTTTCATTCTTTATCTGACTGTATCTAGTACCTTATTTGGCAATCTTGATTCCATAACTTAATAGAACATATGAAGGCCAAGCTTTTGTAGTCTTTATTGTGGTCGCGGTCTTCTGCTATAGAATAGAAGTGGTTTTACATCGCTTTCTAAATTTGGTCGTGGTGTCAGGGCGATCTAGATGAATGCATCCTATTTAGAGCCCTGTGCAATATTGGCTATACGAATTTTCAGTGTCGGACTGTGGACCCGGTACAGAGTTTCTTCTGAAAATTCTATCCCTACACACTATATTGACTCTGATACCTTTTAGAATATAGTGGTTCTTTCAATTTTTCAGGGATTATATTTCTTACTCATTTTTTCCGCCTAGTAACCATATAAGCTTAAACCGTGCTTAACCTTTAATTTATTAGCTAAACGACAGTGTGAATGCCCTGGAGACCAAGATATCGACCCTTTCGCCTGATGTCAGCCAATTAGCAGACAAGGCCAGGAAAGATGCCGAAGCAATAGACGTTCTCATGCGCGATGCAGAACGGGCCAGAAGTCAGGCAAAAAACATGCTTCAAGACTTACAGAGCCTTGAGGTTAGATTATGTTCTTCCGGATGGGACTTTGGAAGGAATTCTAGTTAAATTTAATTTTGCGTCTTCTACTGGTTTAACGATGGCTGATAGACTTCAACAACTTAAAAGTCATTCCCATATTCCTAAAACTAAAATTAATTCATTATTTTACTGTACTATTATTACTTATTAGGTACTTAAACTAGGTTTGAACTCTAAAAATAAAGCCTTATTAATAGTTGATAGAGTAAAAGAGAGTTTAATTTACCAAAAGACATTGTGCGGTCGCTTTCCTGCTCGCTATAGCAAAGCATCAATTTTGCTTTTGAAGCATTAATCATTATGATTGACTTGCCAAGTTATGTTTTATTGAAGAATTTGCATTATAAGGTATTGAGAGATAATTAAAGAAAATATTTAGACTGAATTTTACTCAGGCTTAT